CCATCAGCTCACAGGAAAGGGGGCCTGCGGGATACAACTCAAAACACTCTCCTCTCCCCAGTGCAACAAAGCACTGCGGGTAGGAGTGGGAAGGACACAGTACTGAAGAAAGAACAAATGGAGATCCTGCCTTCAATTGTCCTGACACCTTAACTCCCCACGTAATCATTTGCACCACTAAGTGTACCCTTCCCAAAGACCAGAATCCTTAGGATTTTCTGCCATGTGGTCTGCAAACTTGTATCCTGAGAAACTCCCTGTTTTACTGGTTTAAAAAGCAAGTGCCTTGGACAAGGACTAGGAGAGGAAATGGGAGCAGAAAGAAATGACCTGCCCAAGATCATGCTGCAAGCCGACAGCAGACCCAGGACTGGAATACAAATCCCCTCCTCTGTGCTCAGGGTCATCCAAAACCCGACAGTACCAGAAAAGCACTGCATCATCACATCATGCCCAAAAGCAAAGGTGCTGCTGGAGTGGGGCTTTCTTCTCCATCCAAACTGTAACCGTTTTAGCGCTTGTAAACAAAAGTACTAATCAGTCCAAAATAGGAATAACAACCTCAGAATTAAGAAGGATTAGGAGAAGTAAGTATTTTCAACTGCTGTTAACACAAGACATTGAGATTTTACTATGACATCTCCAGGAACATTCTATTTTTTAACCAGCTCCCCCCAGTACACCTATCCTACAAAAACCTAAGGAAAGATTTTGTGAGTGCCATGTTTCAAACACCTGGCCTGCATATCCATGCTTTCTGCATCACACCCATCCACATGATCACCTCATTCTGAACTTATTTTTCCCCCCTATGCAAATCCAGATGATGTAGTAACTCCATCCGCTTTGTCAAAAGTGCCCAGACACCTCAGCTATATTGCTCATTGAGCTGTTTTAGGCATAGTAGCCCAAACAGGAAGTGTGTTATATTACAGTTTTGCATCTTTATGGAAAAATGTTTTTAAGAACCCAAAGGTTCTTTGCATACTGCATTAAATGCATACATATTTTAAATAAAAATCTGGTATTTTTCTGAGCTTTTAACACCACACTGAATTCCAAGAAACTTGCAATTCCGAAGACTGGAGAAAGGAAGCAAGAGTGGAAAAACAGGCAAGAAATCTCTATTCAGCAAGTTCTTGAAACATGCATAACTGAATTAAGTACTCAGTTTATTCAGCAAAATGTGAGAGCACATCAAAAGTGTTCCTGGATAATAAAACAGTAGACTAAAAAAGAGCAAACATACATATTTCTTCAGTTGCCCACAGCTTAGTATCACATAACACTTTACTTCTTGTTCTCACATGCCACAGACCTGTGGCCAGGATGCTGGCATCTGAACCCTGATTTGGGGCTTCAGGAAGCCCCGGGGCCTCCACACACCTCAGTCCCCAGCTTAAAAGAGGTGGAAAACAGCAAAAGGTAAGTCTCCATCAAGATAAACCCTATACTGACAGCAGGATGCTTCCACATGATATACCAATCTTAAAAACACCTGGTATGTGCTTTGAGAAAGAAAGTGGCCAAAATGTTATCAAATTAACAGGATGGATGGCTCACAGAGAGCTTGATGTTCATCCAAGAAGACAATTCCTAGAAGCCACTGCATGTATGCTTACAATACGAAGCTAAAAGTTGGAGGAATTACTTCAAAAACACTCTGTGGGTTACCAAAATACAAAGACCAGCAAGAGAGATAAAAGCAATATAATTTTTTAAAATTACCTCTGCCATTATGCTTTCACTACAATTTCCACTTCTATTAGGCATCATTTATTTGAAAGGATAGGGTGGCTACTGGTTTTCTTAATCAGAAACCAACAGTTCCGATCAAGAGTGGATGTCTTTAGTTTTATGCTAGAAACTGTTTCTTTTATATACATATATATCTCTATCAATATATATATATCTCCATCTGTATATAAAAATAAATAAAATATTTTGACAGTTACCAAAGAGCGTAACTCAGCTAATATTCACACTGGAGCAGCAACATGTCAGTGACTACAGTAGGGCAAACAATTACTCCACAAGATTTTTAAGGCTAAGACTAATAAAATTAAGAACTCCAGAATCGATTTAAAAAAAAAAAATATTTAAATTCCCTTCCTCACAAAGAGAGCACCTTCAAAGTACAGTAACTTAAGCAGCATATGGCATTTACATTTTCATCTAAATCTTTAAAGCAGCCCATTATTTCCTTAGATTTGAGAAGAGAACCCTGCTTTATTTCACCACACCAGCCATAAACTATTCATTAATTCTGTTTGCTAACTCTGTAACTGAGCCCAGATGTTTCTGCTGGAGAGGCATTCCATAAGAAAAGTTAAATATAGCAAGCTGTGTGGAAGGAACAGACCTCTCTCCCCCCACCACAGCATGCTCAAATAGTACTTGATGGAAAATAATGAAAACATTTGAAAAATATTCTGAATATGTGAGTCTGAAATGCCACAGTCTGATCACAAGATTTCAAGCAAAAGAGCTCCCAGACATTATATTTGGGTGTAACTGAAGTTACTGGTCCTGTCTCTGGAAAGGTGCCGACACTTTCATTCACCAGAGTAAACAGAAAATTTACAAGCAGAGGAACACTCCTGGCCATGCATCATTTACAAATACAAATCAAGACTTAAATTTTCAATTACAAGAAACACTTCCAAGCCAACCATGTTAATGAAGAAACTGAGAGCATCCTAGGGAATTTCTTATGAACTGACACAGAAACTTAATGGTGGGAATTTGAAATTAGCACTTCAGAAGAACTTCAACCATTTTACACTAGCAAAGATGATTAATGCTTACATTTATAATCCAACACCAAGAACACAGTCCTGTTAACAAGAATGGAAACTACCACTTTCAGCCACCTGTTCAGACATTGTTATGGTTTCTAGTACTATTCAGCAACTGTCTTAAGCTGGTTTGGAAATGCCTATTTTAAATTAGAAACTATTCCTAATCATTCTGTAATAAGAGAAAACATGAAAGACACAGGGTTGAACATTGTAGACCCACATTCTCTGGAATGTGGAGACCACTCTCAGCCATGCAACACTTCCTCAGCTGTGAACAATGATCAGGAGAGACTGAGAGGTCATCTAGTCCCTTTGTTTTGCTCCAAGACAACATCAAGCCTATTTAAACCAGTATTTGCCTAATCTGATCTTTAAAATTTCCAGTGTAACAGATTCTGTAGAATGACTTGTAGAGGGAGGGTATTTCAGGGAAGCTGTTATTGACCAACGTGGTAATAACACCACTGCCTTGGTACCAGGTATCAGGTGCTGTCATCCAACTCTGCTGCACTTGCACCTAGTAGCCAAATCCTGTTGCTCTTCAACCGCTTGTGTCCACAGAAGACTTTGCAAAATATGTTGTCTAACTGTATTGTTAACAGGGAGCACCTTCCCACTAGCTGGGAAATAGGCAAACAAACCTTGTTATACATACTATTAGCCACCTTAGAACACAATAAAAGTATGCCAGCTGTTCCGAAAAACATGAATATATGACTGAAGTCATAATTTTAGCATGGGAAGGCATACTAGCACGAGCTTTAGGCTCCTCAATGTCAATGAATAATGAAGTGATAGAACAGGTCAACAATCTCAAGGCAATAAGTATTTTTTTTTCCCTAGTCCATGACACCAGAAATTTTCTTTATTTCTGGTAGCTACTCATTATTAGCACAAACAACAGCTACCACAGCATGTCTACCATGGGCAATGACTTCCTCATTTTGCAGTGTAGACAGATCTTAAGAATGTCTACTTCAGAGATCAGCTGGAAAGCAGCCAATGAGAAGAAAACCAGAACAAATTTTATTTAAAGTTAGTCACTTCAGCAGCAACTTACACTTGAATCCACCTATATGAAGAAATGTTTCCTCTCCAACTCCTAGGGAAGAAGAGAGTTATGCAATGTGAAACCTAGAAACTGGACCCAGTTACAGCACACGTGGGAGATGGAAGATGACAAAAGGATCTGAAGGCTCTCAGAAAATAAAGACCATATGTTGGAACAGTAGAAAGTCTTCTGTGAAATCTTTGTAGGGGGGAGAAGAGGGAATAGCGCACAGGTGTGAAGCACCAAAAGGAGTCAGAGCCAGAAGAATAGGAACTACATTAGATAGCCCATCTTGAAAAATCCTTTCCTCATATATGGGGGGAACATTGCAGCAAAAGAGAAAGAACTCTTCATCAACTTTGTAATGCATGAATTTCTAGAGCATTGCTGGGCAAAATTTTTTTCGTGAAGGGAAACCAGCACCTGGTTTATTTCCTGGTTTATGCATGGTAACAGAAGCTGAGGGAAAGTTTCAGTTCGGGAAACTACATTTAGAAAATGAAACATCAAATCTGATGCACTTTACAGGCAAAGTCTTAGATACAAATTATACATAGCTAAGTACAATTTTTAAAAATTACTGCTTTTAGGTTGTCCTTGCTCAAGCAAAAACCAGGCCCTCATGAAGCTGTCTGCATACCTAAATTTGTGCCTAAGTATTTTTCTCCACAGGTATTGTGTTTGAAAACAGGGATAAAACCTTAAATTATCAGCTACTCTAACAAGAATTAAGCATGCAGCTCACTTTATATAATTATATAAAGAGGCTTATGGGAAAAGGAAGCACACTTAACCTACCTGTTTGTATGATCTGTTACTTAGGCAGAAAAAGAAATGTCACAAGGAAGAATTCTTGGCATTTAAACTGTATTGGTATTTAATCTATTACTGTAATCTACATCAATTTAAACAACCCAAATCTAAAAAGGTCCTGAGAATCTCCCACTTTTAGGAGTCTTATATGGCCTGCTCACTTATTGCACACATACAGATAGATGATTATATTTCAGCAGAATTAGAACCAAATGGGTTTTTGCTGCAAGCTCTTTTTTTTTTTTTTTAAGAAAAGACTTGCTCTCTGTTCATGTTTTTACAAAGAGATGACAAACATATTCTGCAGCTTAAAAAAGGAAGAAAAGAGTGTTTACTTTGGTTGTGCTAAGCAGCCAGGTGCTATAATACTGCAAGTTTCATCTGTAGTCTGCAGTGCTGTAAGTTCCACCATGTTAACCATCACATCCGTCTTGTGGCCAGGAAGCTTGGGAAGCACAGAAAGTACTTTCTCTGCAAGATTGTCGCCATGATGACCAACTGCTCCTGCAGGAAAAGACAATCAAAAATTGTCAGATACATAACTAGAAGAAAAAAGAAAAAAACACACAGGGAATTGAGAACAAAATAACAACTACATGTTTTGGAGAGAAGGACATTGGTAGTCAAAACATCAAGATCACATTTAGCTTTTCAAATATATTTTGCTACAAAAGTAAAATTAATTTCTGGAATGTCTGAAGTTAAAGGCATTGATAACATTTCAGAAAGATTCTTTTAAAAAGCATAAATCAGACTTAGTTTTACTGCTGTTTGATATCCACTGATTTTGCACTTAAACATGCAAAATAGTTCTCTTTGCATTAGAAAGCTGTTTAACAAGATTTGCAATGGTTATTAAAAAAAGCAGGCAAACATTTATATATACACATACTCAGATTAAAACTATACTTTTCTACCTAAACTAATAGGACTGTGTTTAAAAGGGCTGTATGCAAGTTGCATACATAGCTACCCAGATAGGTTTGCATAATATTAAAACAAACAATTATCAGTGATATGCCACCGTCAAGATCATTGCTTCTAGATGGAATGAGAGCAGCTCAGGTGAAACCAACATGAAATAACTAAACCAACTCAAGTTACATAGTATAAAATGTTAATTTGACCATGTTCCAGGAGAAATTCCGAATTCCAGTTGGCACGTTTTGCTCAGTTCTCCTGATTTCAAACACACATGTTCTTCTTTCCATTAATGAACTCTCAACACAGGCACTACAACCAACTTACAAAATTTTAAGACTATGAGCCAAGCCAAAGCATAAAAACATGACACACACTATAGATGGAAAGTCAGAGAGGGGGACCAGAAACCTTACTGCCTTTAAGTCAGGAATAAGTTGGAGGTATTTGTATACTGCCACTTTAGCTATGGTTCAGCTATCACCACAGGGCTGGACAGCAGTGCTGAGCTTTTTATTGTTCTCCTGGCTTTACTCCTGAGAGGCAGGAAAAAGGAGTGGGACAGTAGCCTGAAAGATCTATCAAAGTCTGTCCTCATGGCACCCTATCTGCTCTCACTTTTCATCATTTCCAAAGACAGAGGAGGTCCGTTTCAATACCTAAAGTAGCTTTGCATGCTCCATACATCCATCAAGAACATTAGTGGGGTTCAGATTATTAATTGCTCTTGGATAAGCAGGTTGTCTCCAGCAGCCAGGTATCCATGCTGTAAAGCCACCTCATGTCTTATCAACTATTCTGAATTGTAGTTGTAAAGAGAAGCAAGGATGAAAAGGGAGGAGAAAAAGTAACGTCAGACTCCATGCTGGCAATGACTCTATCCACAGAAGGCAAGGAAAGCACACATGTCTAGCACATGGTGGTACTGCAATGTGGACACCTGGTCACTCAGTTGGATTGAAATTACCAATTTGTTTCACCAGAGATTGTAATAGTCACAGAATGCCAGCAACTTTCCTTTCCACAATCCCCAGACAGATTTAGACCACTGAAGTACAGATGAAATGACCTGGGTTGTCTTTGCGATTCCCTACGCCATCTGCTCTCCAAAATATCTACATTCTTCTTACTAGGTCAGTCACTTGTCAGCCACACTGCAGTTATCAATGCTCGTGAAGTTACAGACGTGAAAAACAGATGGTAATCTTCTGAACCTCCACCCCCACGTATTGGAAGCAATGTCTATCTCTCCACACTTGCTGCATGTGAGCAATGTTTAGCTAGACAAGACATTTAGCTAACTGGTAACACCTCAGATGCAAATAAATCCACATTAATTATTAACATCCCTCCTTTCTGCTTGGCATAGGAGGAAGTGTCAGCATACTCAAGTTGCTCCTAACAGTTGATCAGCTAGTGCCATCTGAGTCTCCTACCCACAGCTGTTACTCCTTGGAGGCTCCCACTGGTCCATAGGTGCTGATGTCTTTTGTTATGCCTCATCAAATCAATCACAAAACATCTCCTGGAAGTTTTAAAAACCACTATCTCCCCTGACCAACAACATAAATTAACCAAGGCTGGAAAGACAGTTAAACCTCATAAGACTAGGACAGGAAATTACAAGGAGTCACTTTTCAATTGCACTGACTTCAGCAACATGTATGGGACTGCTTTCCAGCCTCTCTCATCATTGTTGAGGACAGTCAACAAGCCGCTCAGCAGCTCCTCATGACCAGCGGTGTTCAAGGCAGTTGATAGTTTTTAATGTTGCCAATGTAAAAACAGATTTGGTATTAAAATGACAAGGAGAAGTTATCTGACCAATGCAAAATACGAATCTTTATGCCAGGTGAATATCCAGCCTTTGAAGATAAGGGAAATCTTATGTATCATGCTGTTCTAATTTTACTTTCTCTTCTCATTAAGTTACAAACTGAAATACATGACATTTGATACAGGTTGTAGCTGGCACAACTGACAAAGCAGACCAACCAATTTTTTTAACAGCAGCCAGGTACTCATCAACTACACCGCTCCTTCCCTCAGAAAGGCAGCAATGACATTCATATAAGAAAATATTTTCCTAAGCCCATTATGAGCCCTGTATCACACCAGCTGTATTCCAATTCTTATGTTCTCCTACTGGTTCTACTGTCTGGTTCAAAAATAAAACAAAGCAGAAAAGAGCAGATTTAAAGGGCAATTGCACACTGCAGAAGCAACATGAGAGCTTAGGCAATGGGAATACTTTAAAGTCAGTTGCTAAACATGAGGAGCTTGAATTAGAAAGCAATTCTCCTACAAAGGCACTGCTCACTAGCCAACAACTAACGCAGCTAATTTCTACAGGGTGCTTTTCCTTCAAAGTTTAAACATAAGTTGGTGTGCACCAAAACAGAATGCAAGGCATATCTTGATCCTACTATCAAGCTTTCTTAACATCTGCTGATTTAACTACTTTGTAGATTGTTTCAGGACTAGTGATTTTCAAAAGATACATGAACAAACCCATCCCAGTTTTCATGATGTTTCAGCACTGCAGGCACACTCAATGCTTTTCTGAGTAAGATCACCACTAGGAAGATTTTACACTAAAGTACTCTTGTGGGACAATTTCTATGATGCAACTTTCTTAGGCAATGCATCACCTCAGTGAGGGCAGGGTTCAAGTTATCAGGAGGCAGAAATATTTATACCTGTTCCCTTCAAATAAGCTGGATATTTGGAGCTTCAATTCCAAAGCTTATCAATGTTTTGCCATATTCTTTCATCCAGTGTTAGCTTAAACTGATGTTGTAAAACTGTGCTTAAAAGCAACCTTTTATGTTCCCATGAACCACTGTCCAGCATTCAAGGCAAACTACAGCATTCTTCTGCCTTGCCAAAAGGCAAATCTACATTCTCCTTTGTACAGACAAAGGAACATGAAACTTGTCCCACTATGCTGGCTATTGAATGTTTAAAAAACCCCAATCACTACTACCAAAACCACCACCACCAAAAAAAGCCTAAAAACTTGTAGTCCAGCAGTAGGAGCATAGAAGCCCACAGCCAAGCACAGCAACGTCAGAGTGCCACCAGAGACATATGACAGATTCCCCATCTCTCATAGCCAGCTGTTGCAACGTATGTGAAGGGTGGTAAATTTGGAGATAAGAAACACTTAAGCATCTGCTCAAGGCTCATGTAATTTCCAAGTCCCCTGCACTGATCTAGCCACCTGCAGTTTTCTTCACGTAAGCAAAACTCATTCCATTTGCTTATCTCTGTAAGGCCGCTATAACAGATTTAACATCTGAAACACTTAAAAACCTATTATAAAAATTTGTGTGCTTATTTGACAATAGAAAGATCTTTACAAACCATGCCATAGCAGAGGCCGTACCCTGACCTGCAGTACTGAGATGACACCACTTGAATATTTTCAGCTGCCATCACTCCTCACAGCTGCAGTCTACAACCTCAAGTAACCATAATAATTTAAGCATTGGCTGTGTCTTGTGTCAAAGCCACAGCCTGGTTCATACAAAGCGGACTACTTTACAGACCTCAGTATTTATGTTTTCAAGGCCTCAGCTTATATGGTAAGGAAGAAAAAACCATGGCTTTGTTTCCTTTAAAAATCCATTAGTGTCAATCCACCAATGCATCAACTTGGAAGATGCTGCGATCAAAAAGAGAATGAGCAAATCACTGCAAATTGGAACCATGAAAATATAATGACAGAAACAGACTATTATAAACAAACAGTTTAAAACAAAAATAATCAAAAAGAGATATTAGTCAGAACCAGATTCTACCAGAAAGGCATGGGCCTAAACTCGTCTTCACTCTCATCCTCCTCTCCGAGTGGGATTACGCAGTAGGACGATTAAGGCACACCAGGACTTTTTGTTGCTGTGGCTGCTCCCAGTAACTGAAAGGGAATGGTATCTACACTTCATTGATGAGTGCATGAACTGTGCTTTTTCTATCTGTTAAAAGGCTGAAAACATTAAAAACAGCACAAGGGTGTGATACAAAGATGATGCCTGGCTGATAAAAGAGGGAGATGATAGAGAAAGTTAAGCCCTGAGTTTGTAGCCTTGGCTGTTGGGGAAAACATTCCTGTCATTTTGACTGATACATTTAAAAGTGCTAGAGGAAGATAAAAGTGCTGTTGCTGATGGCACTGAAATATTCAGCCTCAACACTCAGACAAAGGTTATTATTCAAAACTATACATTAAGTGCACAGGCACCCCCCTGCTATTCTCTGTCTTTGCTCATAGTATTGCATTTCAAAATCACCTGCATGTACCAGAAGGTGAGACCTCACTATTCCCTGGGTCTACAACAGCCCACATCCCAAATGCTACAAAGCACCAAGAGGTTGGAAGGAGAAACATGTCAACATGAACACCAATATCTGAAAGGTATCGATGAGCTTAGGAATGAAAAAGGAAATCTAGGAATCTGGAAAAATTGTTTCATCAAAAGGTGTGAATGCTGGCAAGGTGGTGACTAAGAAACACATGGAAGGAGCAAAGGAGCATGGGGTTACATAGCATCACAATGCAAACATTTAGGGGCACAAATATTAGACAAGAAAAATAAAGAGGAATTAAAGTACCATAGTTAGCTCTGACTTTAACTAGTGTCACTTATCAGAGCACCACTCTAGCTGGGAAGATTTATTCTGCTTTTTAAAGCAAAGGTAGTGAACTTTAAAACAATGAGGAGGCAAATGAAAGCATGCAGATTAGGGACAGCACCATACAATCAGAATTCAAGAAGTGAGCACAAAGTGCTAAACCTGTGATCTCCCCAGGGCATAAAACCACATGTTCCACCTTCTGGGGCACTGCTTTATCCATAAGATCCTATGCTGCAGGCATAGGCAGTATCCATGCCATCTCCATCTGAAGCCATGCCACTGCAGTGAGGCCAGAAAGGCCATAAAAAGAAGATCCTTGTTACAGCTCAGCTGAATGTCCACACAGGACAAAAAGAAGAATTATTTATCTTAATTCAGTATTCTCCTCTCTATTCATTAAATACAGCATGCATAAGTAATGCTGAACACAAAAGCAATAAGATTATAAAAATTACTCAATAGAGTTCAATCCAAATTTTACAGTAATAGCTCAGAAGAGATTCATGGAACCTAGAAAGCTAACCTAGTCAGCTAGGTGCCTTCTGATTCTTTTGACAGAAAAGTGTGCCATTTTATGTGACTAATTTTTTAAAATAATTGTCACAACAAATATAATACAGTTTCTTGACACTGGCACCAGGAGTTCTTTACCAAAATGTACTTAATATGTATTTTCTTTAGCAAGTTCTTTAAAGTGGAAAGTTTTAATATTTAAGTATCAGTATTTTCCCCTAGTTCAGTTGTTTGCAACTGCAGTGCCAGAAAAGGCACTTTTAGACATTTTGATTTTTTACTATTAGAAATCAATTGGTATTACTGAAAACGACTTATTAGTCTAGCCTAACATCTTCTTTCCTCTAGGTAGGCATGGAACATGAGCCAAAATTAAGACATCAGTTAGTACAGTTCCTTTAGGCATCATCTAGAGCTACCTAAAGCTGTATTCCATTCACATCATCACGTCAGAAAATATTTGCCTTCTGACAGCTTATTCAGAGTGATTCAAAGTCACCTGGTTCGAAGCAGTAGCCTGACTTAATCTGAGCAGCCCAGCACCTACCCCCGAACTTTCAGGGTTTTGTGGAAGCATTGGAATATAAAAGCATTCTCATAATCCACAGATACATAACCATTTCTCATATCTGCAGCCCACATGTTGGACAAGATTCAGTTATCAATAAGACATTTACAAATCAAATCCAAAATCTTTCATCTTTAGAGACGGGAGATTTAAAGAGTTGTTTGAAATGAGCTGCAAATGAGAAAGTCTACTTCAATGACTTCCATGTGGACTGAGCAGTTATTTGAAAAATAAATTATTTATTTTTACACTGCTCAATACAAGTACATATCACAGCTTGAAAAAAAAATAAAAATAAAAAAAATCCAGTGGCCCAGTTGCCAATACCAAGCCAGAAACTTGCAGATAGGAAGCTTTAGCTTTTACAAAGTGTAAGGCTGAAATTCAACAGACTCCTTCACCCAAAGGCCAAGCAGTGGAGTTGGGGGTAGGGGGCCAGGGGAAAGACTAAATATACCTAAGAAAATTAAGGCTTCAGGTACAATTTAATTTTGCAGTTTCGCACCTACTGACAACTGATTTCACAACTTAAATTGCTGTTCTTTTTGTGTTCTTTTTACTGTACAATTTCTGGTAAACCAATTAAATAAATCTCACTGCATGGCACTAAATTCAGGTCCATATAGTCCTTTACCTCTGAAATGCACTAGATTTTTCTTCCTTCAGTTTGCACTGCACTTCATGGCAAGATTATAGTGTCATGTCCAAAGCACAGGAAGGCTTCAATGAAACTGTCTATGAATTCTGGAGACATTTGTCGGTAACAAAAGAATGGTTGCATGAAGAGATCTTTGTTGCAGTTACAGATACTGAAGAGAATAAATTCCTAAAAAAATGAATACTTTAATTTCTCATCCTTACTCCAAGAGCTGTGATGCATTCACTCCAAAGCTGCCTCACCACAGCCCTGATGTTTTCTCAAAAAAACCTTCTCCCACCAACATACAAGATCCCAGACCTCACAGATTTAACTGGTACCTCCATGCCTCCTCAACAGTCTCCTTGTCAGGCAGCTCTCTGTCACCAAGTTTCTAGTTCCAGTTCCTTTTTTTTAACTCTTCCCACTACCTGAGTGCACAAATCCTTGTCCAGTTTCATTGGTTCCCACGCCAAACAGGCATTCCTCTCAAAATTTGATTTCAACTCTCTTCATCCAAGTCCACTCTCCCGCAGTCTTCCCAGCAATCTTCCCAAACCACAGCACAGCATTAACTGCCCAAACCTATAGCCTTCAGCTTCTATAGATCTTCAGCACATTGTTGACCACTACCAACCCTGCAGCAGTGCAAGGATACACAAAGCCAAAACTGAGGGGGGGAAAAAAAAGAAGAAAATTCAGGAACAGATTGTCCACAAGTGCAACATTGTGCCAAGCACTTGTTACGGGTCAGGTAACAAGTTATGTTACCTGACCTGTAAAAAATTACAACTTGAATTATTGACTATACATAATGCAAATAGAACCAGGCTCACACACTGCATATGTGAGCAGGTCCATCAATAATATGATGGGGTAAGTGAATGCAGCCACTCCTGTATCAATTATTCTCCGAGTTGACTGTTTCCTCTGAAAGATGGTTATTCCAGAAGTGAGAGCCTAATACAAACCTTCTCCGTGTCACTGACCCAGCACCTTGCTGGTGACTTGTTCAATCACTCTTTCCCTTTCTGCCCTTTTAATATCACACATTACCAGCTTAAGAGTTCAACTCACTTGCAGGTTGATTACAATACTTGACATTCTCCATCTGATAGCTTCCCAAGGGACTCTCACACCACTTTCTATGCTTCTCAAGCTTTGCATCAATTACGTATTAACTGACAGTATTAAATTTACCATACAGTTCATTCCTACGCTCACTTGCTTCCCAGAAAGCACTGTATAAACAATTCTGCATTGTTTTCACTCAGACATAAGGTTTTCCAAGTTAACACCAGCCATGTGCAATTGCTTCATTCAGAGATTAAGTACAGCACATAGCATATAAAGACTATATATACATTAAACATATAGAGACACTTTCAGCAAAACAGATATAGCTCAGTGTATATATAGATGTTTATCTGTTTAGACAAGGATAATGCTAAGGGTGATAAGTAGCTACACTGGAAAATGCTTTGCAGTAATCCACCAGTCAGAGTCTGTGCAGACTGCTTCCTTCACACCTTGGGATAATGCAGGCACAGCTAAGATCTCCAGTTTGCAGCAAAGCATTAGTGCCACAAACAAACCCTTGTGTTTCCAGCAGAGCTTTCTGCTTCACCCTTGGTTTCCATGACCCACTCAGGAGCAAGAAGGCATGCATAATCACCACAGCCATGGTGATAACACGTGTTCCTAGGCCATGAGGACTCCTACAACCACCAAAAAACCTCCTGATAGAGTGGATGTGGGCCCATAGGGATGACAGCCCCTGCCAGCGGTGGGTTTCTTACCAACAAGGTCCAACGTTCTGTCCACAAAGATGACGGAGGCCTTGTTGGTGGCTGTCCTCCTCCTGTTCCTGGCTGGGGCACAGCTTGCCAGCTCAGCAGCGATGACTCTGCTGAGGGCCCCCACGGCGAAGCTCTCCTCCCGCAGGCCCAATGCGGTGAAAAGAGCGTCGAGATCGCCCACCAGGGCCCGCACGGTCACCCGCAGCTCAGCGGGCAGGGCACCCAGCCCGCCCTCCGCGAGACCGGGCCCACTAGGGCCGGGCAGAGGC